TACAAAGGAGTGAGGTTAATATATTTAAAATGGATAAATGTAGTATAAAAATATTGTTACTATGCCCATGTTTAGCTGACCTGATACAAATGTTTATCATCCAAAAGTAACCGGGGGCACAGGTCTCTGCTACTGTTATTTTGTGGGTCAAAAGCTGGAAAGTTTGGGAACCACTGAAATTTGGTTCCCAAAGTTGGGCTTGGGACCCAATTATGGGTCATGAAGCACCTTGGATAATCTCCAGAAATCAATTTAAAGGGTAATAAAATAATTGCTGATGTAATATTTCCCTCTAATTATTACAAAAACACTAAATAAGTATAAATTTGTATTTATATTTGTGTACAAGCTGTTTAGATTGTCAAAAAAACCTGTGTTTTTAGGGTTGTTAACAAAGTTTGTGTACTCAGACCAGTAATATTTGGGGTCACAAGTCTTTGCCATGGATATTTTGTGGGTTAGAAGACAAAAAGTTTGGGAACCACGTCCAAAGGGCTCTGGAATGCATTTAAGAAGCTGAGAAAATGTGTAATAGGTTTTTTACCCCCCTCTAGTGTATAATTTGAACATTGCAGTTTCGTTACCTTCAACGTGCGCGTGCCTGAGATTTGTGCGTCAGTCTTTGCGCCTCACGCGCTACTCTTCTGTCTCCATGCAAGATTTGTTTGTTAACGGATGTGTTTGAGGAACCGGACCAGAATCGCTCCAAGAAAGTACTGGAATTGCGTCCTGTCAGCAAGCCGGCCAGACATGACTCGATGACACTAGATTGGTTTGACTTTGGCTTATTAAAGGGGGGAAATGTACATGTTTTTTTTGCGTTTATAGGAGTAGCAGGCTCGCCGTCTATAGTTTCTCACCGGCTTCATTAGCTTAGCAAGCTAACTAGCGAGTTAACAGCTGCGGTACCCTCTCGAAAATGCGTCTGGAGCCTGTATGGAGGTCTTGTATTTGTTTGTTTGTTTATTTATGTCACTGACTAATATGTATTCAAGCAAGTATATTGTGTATCAGTAGTAGGTTCCCCAAGATGAAGTGACAGAGGAGGTGGTTGCGTTATGTCTAGAATTAACCTTACAACCAAAACGTCCACGTTAGGTCCTTCAGTCAGATACGTAGTAGAAAGCGGTCAGCGGTGACGCTGACAACAACAGAGTGGGTTTCTTTAAGCGATGTGTTCTCTTGTCACGAGATGAGTCTTGTGAACGATTCGGTGGAGGCAGGGATGTCGTCAGTCCAGTCGGGTCTGGACGGACACCTGCCGCTCTTACACGCCCGACACCACGGCTCTCAGGACGGGTTAATGTTGGACCTGGACTCCCCGGAAGCGTTCATGGACAGCAGCTCGCTGGACTACAGGGACATCGACGGGAACAACGGCAGTCCGGTTTTCGAAAGCAGAAAGAGGTCCAGGTCCAACAGCTCCAGGCACAGATTCAACGAGGTGGTCACGGAGCTGGTTCCGGAGGAGGTTCGGTGGTTTTACAAAGAGGACAAGAAAACATGGAAGCCTTTCCTTGGACACGACTCGATAAAAATTGAGCGGATGTTTCGGAAATACTGGGAGCTGAATCCTGGTGCGATCCGCGCCAGGGTTGGCAGCTGTGAAGAGGAGTGCGGCGGTAAAAGTGCGGAGAGCCCCGGACTGAACGGCTCGGCGCCCGTAGAAACCGGGACCAGCGCGGGGAGCGAAGCAAGCGAAGGCCGCGGCTTTATGGATACATCCAGCGTGTCTTTTGATGAGAGAGACCCAGACTGCTTTGAGATGAACGTGGAGCCTGTTTGTGTTCGCGGAGGGCTCTATGAGGTTGACATATTAGAGAGGAAATGCTACCCTGTCTATTGGAAACGTAAGTACAGTTTTATTCCCCCGGCCTCTCTTCCAAACAAACCACAATGTGACATAGTATCAAATCCCACTAACTCACTTTATGTTTTTAAAACCGTTGGGTTGTGTTCATTCACACACCTTTTATTTTGTCAGCATGCACATGATTACAAACTAATAGCTTAAAACATTTTATTTGTCTAAAATGAGCATCTAACATTCCTCCTGTATTTTTTTTAAAGATTTTAATCTGAGTAATGGTTATTTATTATATATATTTTTGCATTCCAAACGATTAATCTAAATACTAGTTATTCGTGTTTGTTTATTCAGTAAACCTGCTGAGCCTTGGGTTGTTTTTGCTGCTTTTTAAAAATACAATTAATTTGATTGATCTTATATTGGTTGCAAGTTTATTAAACTTGGCTGATTTGTGTTTACTAATTCATGATTACTTCCAGGAAATGCTTGGAAACAAATGAGAAAAGTAGAGCTGGGATTCCCAAAGTTGAGGTCAGAAGCTTACTGGCTCATGAAAAACCTGGTGGAGATCCTCAGATTACATTTAGATATCAAATTAAATAAAAAAAATGCTAATGACATATTTTCCCCATATTTGTGACAAAGTATGTAAGAAATACATAAAAACAGTATTTGAGGAAGTTTATTTGTCATTATACCCTTGTTTTTTTAAGGGGATGTGTGTGTATTGTTTATTTTTCATTCTATACCACAATCAACTGACTGTTAACCTTCAGTTGTTACGAAAATACCATAGATAGATAGATAGATGGATGGATGGATATGAAAACACCAATTATAATATCAGATATTGGCTGAAATGTTCATATCGATGCAATCCTAATTATGACTTGGGTTGAATGATAAACATTTTGGAACCACATATGGAGAGCATCACAAAATGTGACCTCAATAATTTACACACAATTAGTTCTTGTAAAGGTTGAATGCAAAAGGATATTTTCAACATTTTCTTCTTAGTTCAAACCTACAGTATATTGCCCTTTTACTCTGTTTTTGAAACATATAAAAAAATCCAATTACTCAAAACGGTTCAAGTTTATCCTACCTGAATATTCACAAACCAATGAAGAACTAATGGTGTACAGCTCTTTATCATTACATTTTATTGGTTTGTCTGTTCTCCACAGAAATGTTTTTCTGAGTGTGTCTAATTTAAATTCTGCTATTACACTGACTTGTCTCCGGAGAATCAAGTGAGACTCTTGTAATTATGTCACTCTTGACTGTAATAAAACCTGGCCCCACTCTACTAAATACAGAGACTTGCTCCTTGTGGATTTGAAAGACCTATTTAGTCAAATTGAAATCGGTTCACTGCATGTCATCCTTAACAAGCTGGTAGTACCATTGTTGGACTGTTTTCTATCAGCATCACAAAGTAAACTACATTTTTAAAAATGACACTCTATAGTTTTTGTTTGTTTTGCGTGCTACTGAATCAGTGCTATGTGTTTTGCAGAACAAGACCATATCCCTGTGATGAGAGGCCAGTGGTTTATTGATGGCACCTGGCTCCCTATAGAGGAAGAGGAGAGTGACCTCATTGAACTGGAGCACCTGAACCATTTCCGCGGGCAACAGATGCAGGACACATTCGAGTCAGATTTGGTGGTCAAGACCGTTGACAGCAAAGATGGTGAGGAATGAGACAAAATGGGTGGAGGTGTATTTGTTTAAAACTTTACTATGTTAAAATATTCTCAAAGAAGAAAACAGCACTGAAAGCATCCATTCTTATAACTAGGGCTACATTCACATTGCAACATTGGAACGCCCAATTCCAAATTTAATGCTCAGATCTGTTATTTTAGCATGGTTATTCACATTATAATTTAAATACTACCTCCATCAGACTCCAGTGTGAACAGTCCAGTGGCCCACATTCTCAGAAGAATAGCATCTGTGCATCAATACTGAAGTTGTTGTGAAATCAGAGCCGTTTAAATTAGAATTTGCTGTGTCTGATTAATCCGGTGTATATATTTGATCTTGCCACTTCCAGTTTACATAAGTGCAGAATTGCAATTCTGAAACCAGAGCGACGTATGGAAATTAGAAACAAACTCTAGTGTCAATCCTGTCATGCTAATATTGATATAGTCTAACACTTTGGTATACCAATGTTAGTATCATACTCTGTTGGTGTAAATTCTGCCGTCCAGGACCTGACCAATCCAGAAAAAAATGATGAAGAAACTGGACTTTTGTTCTATAGGTGAAGATGTGCAGAGTTCCAAGCTTTAAACTGCACAACAATAGTATCAATATCTAGATCAGTCCCTATTAGGGATGCAAGTTATCGATTAATGGCTTAATCTAAAGTTGATCGATCTTATCGATCGACTAACGATTAATTGATAAGCGGCCATTTTCCTAAAAACCTGACATTTCTCTTGAATCAAGGGTCTTTCTATAACATGAAGGACTAATTTTTTTACACACTAAATAAAAAATTATTATTATACCAGCTGTATTAAACACTGAMAAATTTTGGATTTCTCGCACAATATTAAACTTGGACATATTTATAAAATATAACAAAACAGGAAACTGTTAGGTCGCTAGTTGACAAAAGGAAAGAAAAAAGAAGTAAAACACGATCCACCCCGAACAGAGAAATATAAAACTAACATTTAAACACAGGGTAACATTATAATCTAAAGATTTACTCAAAAACAAACTATAAACATGACCTGAGAGGGGTAAACATACAAATGAGAACTGGAACTGTGTTTGTTTACAATCCTTGTGGTTCTATCTGGGCTGGACTGATTTGACGTCAGCTACTGTTCATTTGATTTGTTCACTGGCCGGGTTACGTCACACAGATGAGATTAACTTCACAGTAATTATTTGTAGTGACTAACCTTTTTTTTTGTTTTGTTTTGTTTCTTTCACATGGAGTCAAACTCTACAAGAAGCTAACGTTAGCTAACCATTCTCTGTCATCCTGCTCTCTAAGCGTCATACTGCTGGATAGTTCGGTACAACCTTTGATACTTTTCCTTTGAGTTTGCTTTAGTCCATTGTTGTTGTTGTTGTGTTGCAAATGAAATGAAACAAGATTTGCGCGATGACGCTGCCCACATCGAGACAGCTCTTTGCTCAGCTCAACGTGGCTGGGGTAAAGTAAGGCCAGGCCGAGAGCAGCGCCACCATCTACTTTGAAAATTAATCGTTAACCGATTTTTTTTTTTTTTTTTGCTTTCCTAGTCCCTATACCTCTACCTCAATGATGAAAGATTCTGATGAAATGTGACATGACCATTCAGACTGCAACTGTTTTGAAAAACATTAGATATCTTTCAAATTTAGTACAACATATTGAAAGGACCTGGGTGGGATTAGAAAAAAATCAGATTTGTCACGTTCAGACTGTAATAAAAAAAATCTGGTTTGGATAACATATGGGCAAAAAAATTGGATTTGGGCCACTTTTGCTAGCAGTGTGAATGTAGCCAAAGTTGTCGGCAACATCCCTAGACTTCATAGTTATAAGTGCAAGTTTTGTGAGAAAGTTTGTTAAAGTATCAGCAGATAGCAGGAACAAATCCCTATAAGAACAGCTTTTTAAGTGATGAGAAGTGAATTATGATAATCCTGCTTCCTGTTGTATTGAGTCACAGCTTAAAGCAGTGATTGTGGCAGTTAAATGCATTGATGTGTGCGTAGGTTTTCTCTCAACATCCCGCTCGTGTAAGCAGCCGCAGCCTGTACTTCATAGCATGTCCCTTTTTTGATGTGCTGGCTCAAGTAAAATGTAGCAGACTCTTGCCGGGGACAGCAGTAAGAAAGAAGTCCTTTGATTCAGCAGTCTCTTTAAGGCTGCCTGTTCCATGAGACTTTTTATCAGTGAAGAATGTGCGGGGGTGGGGATTTGGCAGATAAATAAAGCAAAACAGAGAGAAAAATGTAAAAATCATTAAAAGTGAATGTGAGAGTGGTGTAATATTTTATTTAGAAAAAGGGATTTAATCTTCAATCACATCTGCCTAAACATACTAAAATATTTAAACTAATTGGCCGCTTTTTAATAACTATCTCATGTTTAATTTTAAACTGTAAGGACTCAGAATGAAAAAGCAAAAACATTTAGCCGATATATAGGTTTTTAATACAACTTTCAAGTCTGTCTGGTTTCTGTTTTATCTTTAGTTTGCTTGCCTTAGATCTTAGCTTCAGGTCTTGTTTCGCAGTCAACAAATTAATATACAACAGAAAATGACATGGAGCAATAAAACTGTCTCTTCCTTTACTTAGAAAAGTGTGGAAGTCTATAAATAACGTCATCAACTGCGCTGAAGAACGTGTTCTCAATATTCTAACACTGTCTCACGTGCTTTGTCACTATTTAATTATTTGCATTGCAAATTATTTTACACTATTTGCACCTTTATTATAGATCAAACTTCTGGAACAATATGGCACTTTTTCACATTAAATAACAGGATCATTGGAGACAAAAGTAAAAAGTAACCTGGCAGACACAGAGAAATACTAATAGAGACATTAAATGAAGTGCATTAGTTAAATGCTAACTTAATCACAGAGGAATGTCAGGTTTTATTCAGGATGTTTTTATGTTGGTCTTATTTATTTTAGATGCATATCACAGGATTTTTAGCTAATAGGTATTCTGTACTACTGTAAGAGAGAAATTTATAAATTTGACCTATTATTGTGACATAATGAATGTAGCAGTATGGTATATTGTACAAATTTAAAACCTGCCTGCTCTATTTTTCATCGTCATCTCTAATGGAGCAGCAACATCAGGGTCTGCATAGAAAAGTACCACCTCCTTTGTTTGCGCGTTGTTTTCAACTTCTATATTTAGCCGAGCCTGAAAGCAAAGTGGATGGTAGATCGAGTTAATTCACCTTCCTTTTGCAGATGTTCCAAGCAGCCTGTTACAGAGGAGTGTTTTATTTTAAAACTAATAATTTGAAGCACTCAGAGGCTATCCTAAACTGCATTACGACTGATAAATGGATTGCAAAACCAGCACACTGTGCCATTACATTATTGCAGTACGTTTATTCCTTGTTAGGCCACTGTCTCACCAACCTACCATTACGCTCGCTTTGCCTCTTTTTTTCCATGTTCCACAGTAGAAAGCTGAAATGAGGGGTTGGTGAAGCAGAAGACATGGTAGGCAAACTGGTGTGTTGTGGAGACACGATGTATGGTATTCTGAAAAATAAAATAAAACCTCAAACATTTGATTAATTCTGAACTTATGCTTCCTGGATCTTCAAGGATTTCTTTACAAAGTGCCTTTAGGGATTTCAGTATTTTACTTTTTCTTTGTCTAAAAAAATTCTAACTGGCATTATTGTACTAAAGAAATTGTTCTCCTTTTTACTGGTAACTGGTAAATTAAGCTTGAGGGAAGTTTAGAGCAAACTTAAGTTTTGAGTTTATCTTTTTGTGAGCTTTGATCAGCAAAACAAAATTCCAGTCCTGACTGTGGGAATAATGTCAAAGCAGTGGACATGGAAAAAAGCAGTGAAAGCATTTATTTAGAAGAGATTTAATCTTTTTACTCAAATACAAAGCTGGTAGTAGAAATTATAGGGTGTGGACTCATTTTTCAGGCTTAAAAGACGTTAAGGAAAATTACAGCCAACAGGCTTGGAAAAGCATCATTTGCCAGCATTGTCTTCTGTATACTAATACGAAGGCAAGGCCTTCAAGTTACTTGGAAGTTTTAATGAAATAATTAATAAATTAGTAAGTTTTATGTTTAATAGTTAAATGTGATTATCACTTGCTCACAAGATGAAAATGTCAACATTCTCAGTTTTCTTCAGAACTATACTACACAAATACTAGAGTTTTTGTCTCCTCATACACATTCAGTTCGTATTAGAAATCCCAGTCATTACAAAGCACTTCTTTTGAATGGATACATCAGTGCTGTAATGTCCAATTAGGCATTATTGATGGCTCTTATAGCAAACAAACAAAAAGATCTTGATGCTCAGCAGTTTTGTCCTCCTGCACAGCCCTTCACCTCAGCTGAGGAAACACTGCTGGCATTTGCAAGTTTGATAGCTGTGTTGGTCTGGATTGAACGATTTATTCAAATTTGACACTTGTAGACCAGTTTTTATAAACAAATTCTAATGAGGTCTTTTCAAATGTTCTAAATGCCAGCACACTACAGATTTGTTGTAATGGATGTAAAGTTTATTTTATTTCTATTTTATTACCTTTTTTTCATTATTTAGATTATGACATTTTGAATTGTAATGTCATGTTTGTAACAAATGTGTTTCCAAACTAAATATATTGGTAAGTGGATGTGACTTAAAGACTTATTGGAAAGTAAATTTGAGCTTAATTTAACATGGATGTCTGTATTCAAATATTAATTTTGATTATAAAGCAAAATATTACAGATGTTTTCTGTTGGAAAGTCGTTAAGTTACACAACCACAACATTTTTGTGACAGGCTGTATCATATTTGCTTTATGGACCAGTAATGTTAGAAATATTTGAAATCTGTGCCTACTATTTTTGAATGAGTCCTGCCCTTGACTTCACGTTACTAAATTAGTTAAACAAATGTAGAAACAGAAGTACCTAAGAGGGAAATGCTGTTTTTACACTTACAGTATGACTGGGGCAAATGAATAGACAGATGCCTTGTATAGATAGCAGGTCTGAATTGAGAGCAAGCTACATGATACTTCAGTTTTTGTGAAACTGTGCTGCACTAAGCTGTAGACTCATCCTCACCTTTATGTTATTATGTCGTTCATTTACTGAAACCATGTTCTTGCAGGAGCAAGGACAGTTTTGTTTGGGTTGGAGGAGTAACCTGATTGCAGTGATGTTTGATAGAGTGGCAGAAAAAGGCTTATGTGACTGAAAATGGACTCACTATTTGTTGGTTGTTAGTTCTCTCCCACCTGCCCCCTTTCTACCTCCCCTTTCTGTTCAAATGGAGTGGATATCAGACGAGTGCTAAAACTACATGTCACAAGCGCAAACGATGCCAAGGTACTGTGAAATACCAAGTCTTCTGTTTACTTCTGCTGTGTTAGCTATCTTAGCTTCCTCCCCTCCCTTTTAGATGCTAGGTCTCTGTTGGAGTACATTTTTCTTTCTTTTGTGGTACCAATCTTTTGAAGCCTTGTACTTAGAACTAGACCTAGGCTCAGTTAGACACGGTGGACGTAAAACTGACTTACTGTACACTGTTTTCTCATTACTGCTTTAACTGGGCCTAGATGCTAGAATTCTCTTTGTGTGCTGTGATCCAGACTTTGGTGCTACTTTTGCTGCTTTTTGGGGAATCTTGTGTATCTCCTTGCTGGAAGAGTAAGCAGACTACATGGTTCACTCAACCACAAGGTCCAAACCAATATCCACTGGATCTGTAATAAGTTAAACATCAGCCTCCCCCATGCTTGAATTTTTTTTATTTAGCTACATTTTCTCACCATCTGCCTTTGCTTTCTCCCTCATTCATTTGGGTAGTGCTACTGTAGCTTTAATGGACCCATCATCAGTTCAATAGAAAGCTTTCTGAACAATGCTCTCTGTTGACAGTAAAACACAACTGATGAGATGCAAAGAGGAGCCATTGTTGTCCTTTAGTGTATAATAGCTCGATTCACTCCCAGGTCCATCTCTCTTGTTTCGGGGTGAATAGAGAAATCTCATCTTCCAGGAAAATCAAGAGGACATTGACCTAAAGACTAGTGTGCAAAATAACATCAATATGAACAAGTGATTTTAGTCATTATACTCCAACTCACTTGTAGTTTCTCTTTTAATTTCATTACTGTTACAGTTTCTTTAATGCTTTGAAGTAGAAATACCCTATGTCAGGGCTATTCAACYGCATTACTCCGGAGGCCACAGTCACTGTAGGTCAGCAGCTCAGGTGCCGAATATCCAGCAATTAAAGTTATTATGTAAATAAACCAAGTATTACAAAGGTCTGTTACCTTTTGAAATAGTTTATTTTAATGTATTTAATCATGAATACAACATACAGAATCCTATGTAAATAGTGATAATTAAGCAATCAAAAACAAAAAGAACACATTCGGCCTCCTATTTGACACAAATATTATTTTGACGTCTCTGATCTGCCAAATTGTTAAACCAATTTTATTTTCACTTTCATAGTTTTATTTTCAACTATTTGTAGTTTTAACTATCTTGAGTGTTCATAGACATGTTCATAGAAAAAAGGTTTTTACCAGCTTGAAGCCAAGATTCTAACGTTTCTGTTGATACCAAACATGTCTGTTTAACTAAAAGAACTTATAGTAATTAAAGTAGAAAACCAGAGATTTGGGCTTAAGAGATGAATGAACCAATTTACGGGCCGAACTTTGGTCACTTTGGCCGAATGTGGCCTGCGGGCCACCAGTTGAATAGCCCTGCCCTATGTAATAAAATTAACTTTTAAATTTGTCACACCACAATGCCAGGCCACTATTAGTGATTGAACAAGGCTCTTTGCTCATTCCCTTTTAACCTGTCCCTTATTCTGCTGTTAATTTTATCCTTCCTAAACATACTTGTTCTTTTTTTTGTTTCTTTTTTTACTCCAACAGTTAACTTGTATTCTTATATTTACCGTTATAAACCTTCTCCTCATCCTCTATAATCTTCTTTTGTACCTCAGTAACTTTGTGTAGCTGTGCCAGAGAACTAGGACAGAAAACGTCTGACTGCCTGCTTTTTTGGATTTTTCAACCTTAATTCCTTCATTATCGCTTTCTTTCACAATGCACTGTATTTCATTAGAAACAGGAAGTTCTTATTTACATTGCCAGAAATAAAAACATAATGTTCAACAACAACAGAAAAAAACAAACTCATGAAACTTATTATAAATCTTTTGCCAAAAAAAGTTACCCTGTGAGAAAGAACTGCAGTGTTACTGTCTTCTCTGATAGAAAGTAATTTAAACCTAATAAACGAAGGGAGTGGCTCTTTAACAATGTTAGAAGACTCATCCTGTGGTTGTGGGAAATTTGTTTTTCTGTTGAAGGGGAGCTAAATGGTTGGTCTGCATCATAAAGGGGGGGGTGTAAAGATTTCTGAAACCTCTACAATTATGTCAAGAACAGTTAAACATTTTATTAAAGGCTGTAAGATTCGTGGGGACAAATGATTTAGCAATCAAATACAAAAAGTATAATAGAACAAAAGGATGGTGTTTTATGCTAACTATTATTGGACTGTGGAGCAATGGGAGGAAATATACTGTGGCCTCGATTTAAATCTGTGGGGCAGTAATGTGATCTGGGGTTGCTTAGTTTGGTAGCCTTTTAGCTTTTAAAGGGATCCCAGATTAGTTGTAACATTAGACTTTATTTGCTAAACATATATTTTAACTGCAAAATAAAGACTGTAAAAATACTGTAGGCTGTTTAGTTTTGTAAACTTTTAAAAATATATTTTAACACGGACGGAGCCATTTTATTTACACGCAAAGCATTCTGGGT